GGGTACAGAAAACAGTGGAGTTAAGGCTACATAAATTTTATCCATATGAGCATCAGAGAACAATTACTTATATTCTTTCTTTCCTTCAGGAGCTACAACATTATTTTTTTCCCATCCAAAGTCTATGAAATACTGTAAGTTAGGTTGGGAGACCCTTTCTTTAGTTGTTTGTAGGGTCCTTGAAATGGGTTGGCAAATTCTATGTTACCTCCGGTCTCCCTGATTATGGCTATGCTGTAGCTCCCAGAAGAAAGGCAAAATATAAATAATCCAAACGATAATTAACCTTAAATAAGTAAAAGCTAATGCAATCCTAAATTGCATTAACAGAGGGATACAGTCAAGATCAAGGGAGGTACTAGTATCACTCTATAAAGCCTTAGTAAGACCACACCTAGAATACTACACTGTATAAAAAAAGTTGAGACTCTAGAAAAAGTACAGAGAAGAGCAACCAGGATAATTAGGGGGCTGGAGACTAAAACATATGAAGAATGGTTACAGGAACTGGGCATGGCCAGACTAGTGAAGAGAAGGAGACATGAGAGCAATCTTCCAATATTTGAGGGGCTGCCGCAGGGAGAAGGGGGTCAAGCTATTTTCCAAGGCACCCAAAGGCCAGATAAGGAATAATGGATGGAAACTGATCGAGGAGAGATTTAACCTGGAAATAAGGAGAAACTTTCTGACAGTGAGAACAATCAACCGATGGAACAACTTCCCTTGGGAAGTTGTGGGAGCATCATCACTTGAGACTTTCAAGAAAAGATTGGACTGCCATTTGTCAGAAATGATGTAGGGTCTCCCACTTGGACTAGATGACCTGTAAGGTCCGTTCCAACTCTTCAAGGCAATTTGAAGAAACTTTGCTTTGGAATATCAACTGTTATAGTACAGGTAGTCCTCGACTTACAACAGTTCATTTAGTGACCATTCAAAGTTACAACGGCACTGAAAATGGTGACTTATCACCATTTTTCACACTTATGACTGTTGCAGCATCACCACGGTCATGCGATTTACATTGGGATGTGTGA